AATAATCGGGAATGTGCAGACTTGTTTCAATAAGTTTTATATGATGTATGAATACTTAAATGTATGTATACATATGAAGGACATGCACTGTACCAATCAATTTTCGTCGCCCAGAAATATCTACCTACATATGTACATATTTATGTAATAATGCATGTACGCTCATCCATTTTGCATGCCTATTTTGATAAACTCACATTGTAGAGGATTAAAAGATTAATCCATTGCCGGCCTTCTAGAAGTAGGAACACCGGTTCATCCAGCTGCATAGCAACCAGAAACCCTATATTACTCACAGCACCACAACAGCAGCAGTTCCTTCCCTTCTTGCTAACAACTATTCCCGTTTGTGATTTGATCAAGCGACTGTGAAATGTTATTATTTTAATGAAGTAGTGAAGAGGCAGAGTGAATAAAAAAAAACCAGCAAGAAATCCTTGAACAAGCACTGAAAGCATTAGGAAATAAATAATAATAGGGTTTGCTATGTTTCACTTATCCAAGGCAAAGCGTAAAGCAAAGGCAAAAAGGGATTATACATTTTATAAAGTTCAAGGTACAAATATACATATGTACATCCAAGCTTCGAAACACACTGTTATACTCTTATATGTGATTATAATTGAGGGATAAATGTATATATATGCCTATGTATGAATATGCGGTTAAGTAGTAAGAGGAAATTTTGGTAGAGCTTAATACTGGAATGTGTACGTACATATATACACACATATTTATGTATGTTACGGGATGGATTTGTAGCAAGAAAATTTGAATTTTTAGCAGGAGCGGAATTAAGAAGATTTATAGAGCGGTTGGAACTGGATTTGAAGCAGTTATTTTATTGGGGAGACACAATGAGTGAGAGTGAAGCATAGGCTAAGATTGTGAGAAGGTATATTGATTGAATTGCAGACATCGAAAGAAAAAATTTCGGCAATATCGTAACATCAGCTTTAGTCAGACAGCTAATGCTAATTTCAGGCAAAAATTTAATTTAGTCATGTAACTTTAATTGAGCTATCGATTTTTGGTGTTCACACACAGTCAGCTGCTCGATTAGCGACACTGCTCAATTAGCTACAGTAATGCGATACGAAAGAGCAATGCGATGCGAAAGGCAAATACATCATAAGTAATACACTGTGACAATTGTGAAGTTTTCTAAAACATAGGCAAAAGCCTCGAACTGCTCGAAAAGATATTTTTTTCATAGCCAGATTTGTTCAATCTGGTTGCAAAAGTTGAAGCTCTATCGAAGGGAGGAATTATCCTCCAAAAAAATTTTAAAAATGTATGCACATAAAAATGAACATTTACATTTTAGGCACACAGAGCTGGTTTTAGCTTTAGATTCTTGTTGGTACGCTTTAAAATTCTTGGAAGCTTCGACTTTGTATCAGACGAAAGGCAGGACTTATACAATCCCATCGTTTTTCTAACCTAATATAGAACAGAGAATGCCAAATGAGCTTCTGAGGCTAACGAATAAAGACGCAACTCTCCATGGGTAACGTCGTTCTTGGTATGGAGTACTTTAACATCATTAATCTAATTTAACTGCATACGTTCATAACATCGATGTCTTTCAATCCATCGACCAGTTACAAAACTTTATCCGTTGCGCCAAAAGTTAGATTTGGTAATCCTGAACTCCAGGCATCGAAATTTTTGCATGGAAATTGAAAAAAAAGTAATTTTTAAGAAAAAAAAACACAACCGACTTCAATTCTCTTATAAAAATTTAGGAGTTCCGTTAATTGCTTGATCATCCAATAATCGGATCTAAACCAAATTAGTATGGGACCACCTCGGATACAACTACCTTTAAGAGCTAAATAAGATACCTTCGAAATTAATAAAATTCACCTTTTTTCAATCATTGACTTTAGACACCACCGTAGATAAGCTTGAAAAATATGTAAAATAACTTTCTTCTACTCACAATTCACTTTCGCTGGATCGAATTCGCGCCCACGACTCTCCATTGCCGACGGCGCAGACAACAGCTGCTCCGCTTGCGTCGGCACAACGCCCACACCCGGATGCATTGGCATGCCGCTCACCATGCCGCTGGCAACCGCATTCAATGCCGCCGGTGGCAAGCAACTAATGCTACCCACAAACGCTGGACCTGCAACACTACCATCATTACCGCGGCCAACAATTCCACCACCTACACCGGCGCCGACGGCAGTACGTTCATCGCGCTCCAACTTCGGTGTAACCGCCAATGAAACGTTTTGACTAGAAGGCGTTGAGGAAATGTGGCGTTCGTTGTCTGTGCTCAGGTGCGTTGTGGCGACATTGGGCGTTGAGATGGTGGCATCTGTAGAACGCGAACGGCCAAGGCCAAGGCCGCCGGCACTGCTGCCAGCAGCACCCAATGCGGCAACCATGCCGCCAAAACGCGGACTGCGTGCCTCATCGTGTGCGGCAAGCTGTTCACGCAAGTGCTGTTGATGTTGCTGCTGCTGCTGTTGTTGTTGCTGCTGATGTTGTTGTTGTTGTTGTTGCTGTTGTTGATGCTGCTGTTGCATTTGGAGCTGTGCCAGTTTATCCTGCACGCCCTGCAGTGAAGGGCGTCTTCGATAATTGCCAGCAACGCCACTACCAGCACAGCCAACGCCAACACCTTCCTCTACATTGGCTGTTGACGCGCCGCCACCTGTTGTTGCGCCACCACCACTGCTGCCGATGCTGTGTGGTGGCGATAAAGAATGCTCCTTCTTCAGCGCTGCTAACTCATTGGGCTTGCCACCTTGTGCTGAGGAAGCGGCGGCCGCCGCATTAGCTGAGGCGGCTGCAGCGGCGGCAGCGGCATTTGCGGCACGTGTTAATGCCAAAGCTTGGCACTGAAACGAAAAAAATAATAGAATATTTGTTGTAAATAAATGTATTTTATTTGAAAAAAAAAAACGATTTCATGAGATGGTATTACTTATGCACTAATAATTATTTTATATTCATTACTAAATGCCGGCTTGTAAAAGTAAAAATGTTGCCACTTTATTTTCTATTTCTTTAAGTCGAATCATGTGTATCTATTTTCAACATTTTTTTTTTTTGTCTATTTAGCAGCAAATTTCACTTTACTTTTCTTGCACATAAAACTATCCAAATGTTTGTTTTGGAAATGTGCTGCTAATTGTTAAAATGCTCGATCATTGTCAGCGTGCCCAAAATCTTTCAACAGTAATCATTGCCTTCTGCTCAGATAATAACCCAATTTGGACTATTCTACAGTGTATGATTGCTTGTTTTCACTTTGTATCTGTGATTCTCCGTATTACTAGTTGAAAATAATGTAAGAAGCTCCCATTGAACGCCACAATTAATTTCATGATCACCATGAACACAGTAAGTCATGCATATGTAAGTCGTACGTAAGTGTAGATATGTCTCAATACGCTGATTGTCACAGTGATTGGATTGATTTACTTGATTTGTTTGTCCATCAGCAATAGCTATTATTGCTAGCTTCTAACGATCGAGCGGACATACAATTTTGCACTTAATTGGCGATCGATGTCTTCCAACTACATACATACATGCGCGTAGTCGCCTTCTTTGTTCAAAACATCTTTATTAAAATAAATAAATCAACGCTTGTACTTAAACACATTTAATTTAGGTCTTGGAAATCTAACTAGAAATCATAGCTCAACAATTGAGCGTGTCTCATATGCGGCAGTCCGTACGATCAGCGTGATCACTTTTATTTAATTTATTTCTTTTTCACTCTTTACACTTGTTAAGTTATTATTTCTCTACTATTCTTTCAACGATTTTCTTATGCTTTGAATGCTACCTATGCACATTCTCACATTACTTTCGTGCCATGCGTAGCTAAGTAAATAAATATTTAAAAGCAACATCGCACTCAGTGAACACCATATTTTTTACTTAGTTGTAGGGCCTTTGTCGATTTATTGAAATCAACGAAATGCTATAAATAATTTTATTAGAAAATTTAGTAAAAGTGTTGAAAAAAGAACTTAATTCACTTCTTTTTATGGAACTCAAACGCTCTTCCTTTATATGATAGATTTTTGTTTGTTTTGAACGATGTGTACATGTACATATGTAAGTATGTATGCATATAGATCTCTCTAAGCGCGTATTAATGCACACACATGATTGCTCTGTGATCTTTGGGTTCAAAAGCGCAAAAGCTGTACTTAAAATAATTTCATTTTAATTTTTATCACACCACGGTTTTACTGTACATACTTAACTCCCTCTACAAATACACAAATATTCTATGAAATATTTTTATTTAATTTTTGAACTAATTGTGCAAAAGATCGTTGAAGATCATCGAGGCGAAATGCCTCAATGGTTACACAAGATCAGTAATGTGCAATAATAAGCAGGCAGCAACTTATTCAATTGTATTAGTTTTTGGAGAAAGTAAAGCTTTCAAGAGAGTTAGTGGTAAGTTCCATAAAATATATTTTTTTTTATAAAATTAATGATTTCGATAATTTCATGTAAGGTTCTAATGATAGCACATCCGCGTATTTAGTATCTTCACTTCAGCAATGTATGTACTAGAGATACCGTTTTTAAATCGAAGATTCACTAATAGAGCCGCTCCGATTCGAGTTTATATTCGATTTTTTAGTTCCTATTTGATCCTTGAATACATATGTACATATATATGCATTGATCTTGGCAACTCCCAGCTTTCTAACTTGAGAGAGCAAAGACCAAAACATTCACTAACCTCTCTCTCTTTTTTCTCCGACTACAGGGTTTCTCGGAGAAACCTATTGAAAAGCACTCGTTATAAATTTATAGCCCGTAAATTTTTCGCAGCATCTTTCTCTCGAAAACTTCAAGAGCCACTTCATTAGATGTTTTCACTGTTTATGCCTCCTCGCCGTACAAGTAGGGCTTATATATCTACTATTTTTTCTGAAAGCATAGCTACATAACGAAACCCATGTAAGTCCGAATTTGGAACTTTGCTCAGGAATTAAAACAAAATCAAACAATAGGGGTCTTCCCTTAAATTCGTAAAAGCCTCGTAAACCTCGTAAAGCTTGTAAATTTACGAGCATCGTAAAAGAACTGTCAAAATTTGTATGGAGCTCTATTTACGAGCCCCTCGTAAATTTACGAGGCAAATTTGATGCGCAAAGGACCTCGTAAACTTCAGTGTTGCCGAGGGGCTGACATTTTTATACTAAAATGTATGAAATAAAGAAAATAAATGAAAACAAATTATACGCGAATAAATTGAATGAATTTCATCCACTAACTGTATTGACTTAGGTTTTCTGCTAATTTCCAGCATTTTTAATTGTATTTTAGCCAAGAGTGTAAGGGACAAGATGGCGGGGTGTTATTGGAAAATACTACGAAACAAAAATTGCTTCACAAAATCCTGGTTGATCTGTCAAACAGTCACTTTACGCACCTATTTACACCTTTTCGCTTCGTAAAGTTACGAGTTTTACACGGTATACGACTTTACGAGTTTAAGGGAATCTCCTAAATGATTCGTAAAAAAATCGATATTTTTTTCATAATTAAAACAAAATTATATGTAGTTTTGTAACTTCTTAAATTTTAGAAAAATAAAGTGTTAAATTTATGATGCTAGGACTAACGGTTGCATACCTAAATTTTATTAAAAAGTTTGAAAGTGCGCCTTGTTGTTGTCACACAAAGCGGAGGGACCTACAGTTTTACGCCGACTCCGAACGGCGATTGTATTTTTACGAGAAGCTGTTTTTCATGGCAGAAATACACTCGGAGGTTTGCCATTGCCTGCCGAGGGACGACCGCTGTTATGAAAAAACCTTTTTTCTATATTTTTGCGATGTTGCTTTGACCAGGGTTTGAACCCAGGCGTTGCCGAGTGGAAGCGCGCACTGCTTACCACTACACCACAGCGGCCGACAATTAAGACTATTTAATAAGTTAAATGATCTATTACAATATGGGTATCAATCAAAATGGTTGCAAAAGGCATAATTTCTAAACTATATGTATCAGGGTTGCCACCTGTTTAAAAACTTAAATTAGGGAGAATGGGGTAATTGAAAATGTATTATAAGAACGAATTTAAGAAGGATTTAGTTTGAAAACAAATTGAAGAGGGTTAAAAAAATTTGAAGATCTCCTCCAGATCATTAAGGATTTTCATATATGTACATATGTATTTAACTCATTTGAGAAGTGCATGAAAGTGGCGACAAAATGCGCTAGTTGTCCCTTAGGTGTATATGAATACTTGGAAGGAGGGAAACCAAACATATAATTTGTGCTATAAAGTTCCAGGAATTAAAACTACTAAAGCATAGATGGGCACACCAATACAGTCTCATTTTGTCATGGTATTCGTGAATCGCGCTGAGTAACAGTTGCCACTTTTCTATATTGTACAAAAGTGCGTCGTTTTTTGCGCGTGTTAGAAAACGCTCTTTTAAATTTATATTTAATTTGTATTATGAACATGAAACGAAAATAATAAAATATAATAAACAAATAATGAAGAAATAATTTCAAATAATGAATTATGAAATTAATTTTTATAAGTACATATGTACGTGCATTAAAAGTTTTTTAATTTAATTTCATTAAACTAATGTTTTAACAAATGATAGTTTATTCAACAACAAAATTCACGAATTTAAAATTTCTAAACTTTGTAAAAAACTCAGTATTCAATAAAGTATACTAAATATATTAAATTGCCGTATCGTACATACATATATACATAAAACCCATTACAAAAAACTTTAAATTGGTTTACACAGTTCGGCAGTTTGACTTTTTTACCATGACAAATAATGTCGCCTTATATTAAAAGAACGATTCCAAGTAGTCGTATTACCACATAACAAGCATTGGGCATTATTGGCTTTTCTTAAAACCGAAAATTGTAATTGGCACTCATACGCAGCCATTTTGGACATTGTTACATATATAGCTGGCAACAACGCGCTGAAATTACGAATAAAAATATTCAACGGCGAAGCGTAGTGTTACTCTCATGAAAACTGAAAGCAGACTGAATTGAAATTCGCTGCGTCGTTTCTGTATACGTATAAGCGCTGCGACGCAGACGCTACTCGCGAGTAGCGTTTTGCCCATCATTGTACTAAAGCAAGCCTGACTTTCGAGTGCAATGGGTTATAGTCGTGCTTCCCAAACCAATACATGGGTTGTGTGCTGGGCTAACCCAGAAAAATTTAAAGCAATGAAAATACGCAAATTTCGCAAAGGAGAGAGACAGTGGCGTAGGACCAAACCGACAACCGCTTGTTGTGCCAAATAGAAAGAAGAAGCGCGAATAAAAAAATAACTGCTTTTATTTAAACCATATATGTACATATATATATATATATATGTATGCAAAGTAAAACTGCTTCAAATTTTTATTGCAATCTCTTATATGTGTGTGTGCCTTACTTTATCCAATTTCCGCACTCACTTCACTGCACATGAATTCAACACTTCATTGTGTATACCCTGCTATCAGTGAAATCTGCATAAGATCTTCCTGTTGATCCTTGGGATAAACATTAATCACTTCGCCAAAAAATACTTCAATCAAGTTGAAATTAAACCTTATTTCAAAGACGCTGCATACTTAGCTTTGGGCTAAACTTGTCAAATATGCTTTGTTGCTACGACACTGCCGTTCGAGTAGGTACTCGTAGGTACACATTGGGTATTACTCGGAGGCGGTGCGGGCATGTGGTGGTGAAGCGTGTTCTGAAATTTAATAACGCAATTTTCTCCCTACCACTAACCCAGGCTCCCTTTCAGCAGTCAATACATGCACTGCATATAATTTCCTGCAAATTTTAAAAACACAAAAAAAAGAACCAAATAAAAACTACTTTTTTTCATGCGCATTCTTTGGGTTTATTTCTGCAGGGCTGCTAGTGGTGAGTCGTCGCAGTTCGTCAACTTCTTTTCTACAGTAGCCGCATCAAGTTAGCGATCAACGACATCAAGTGATCGATCTCAAGTTATAATCATCTTTCCGCCACAAAAGACAAAAAAAAAACAAGGAAAAACGCCAATGTAGGGCGGCGGCTGATGAGGAAGAGACAAGTGCTTGGCTTGCGATTTCGGCAGTTATTATTGACAGCAGAAATTCATTTACGCTTTAATAAAAATGTACCACCCCTTCGTGCCGCCCGAGCTGCTATGCTGGCGCTGGCCGACATACTAACTACTACATATGTATGTATATGTATACCGGCATATAGCGGTGTATGTTTGTTGTCGTCCGTAGTCAACGTTTAGCTGGAGGCGTTAAAATTTTACATTGATCTGTTCGAGTTGCAGCTTTCATTATGATTTAAGTTGATATCCAGCCAGCCAGCCAGC